AGTCCAGCAAGAATCTGGAAGCTTGATGCAGGGTGGGAATTGTCAGGCCTCATCCGAGAAAAGCATGGGTGAAAGCAACGGAGTCAACCTTTGCATTCACAGGGCAGGAAGGGGGGCTTGCACACCACGCAAGCGCCGAGCACAGGCTCGCCAGCCTCCAGCACAGCTGCAGCGGGGGTAACAGAGCCCGCAAACCCCTTCGCCTACACGGGGGCTCGTGTGGCACAGCTGCTCTCTCAGGGTCTGCTGCCAAAGCAGCACGCCGGGGAAGAAGTATGGCTACGCTTGGGGCCGGGGCACGCAGCAGCGTGGAGGGAAGGGCTGAACAAGGGAGAGGCGACAAGAAACAGCAGAGGAACTGCCCAAGCATGACTGGGACTGCAGGGTCTGCTGCTGCCTCCACAAACTCACCACAGGTCCCAGCAGCAAGCTCCTTGGGACAGGCACGCTCTCTGGCCCCGAGATCAGTCTTCCAAGGGTAAAGAGACAAAGCAGAAAACCACATGGGCCAGCACAGCTACCAAATCCCCACGGTGCTGCGGGACACGGCCAGAGGGCAACACCGCTCCTCAGCGACCCAGGGTGTCAGAAATCTTCGCCTGGTTTCACAGTAATCTAATCCCGGCTTAGCACAGCAGTAATCCTGGCCGAGGAGCCGAACATCTGCGTGCCCACGTTCTGCACAGAGATCTGGCCTCCCCTGTTGACCTAGATTTAATAACCACTGAAGTCCTAGCTTACCCTTGCTTCATTTCAAAGAGCACAAAGCACCTACAGTGGACTCCTCATAAACAAAGAAGCAATAAAATTTAATAATTCGAAGATCAAAGTTCCCAAGTGTTTTCCAATTGTCTGCTCACTACCCTCCCAGCTAGATTAAGGGAACTGCAAAGGGCTCTCTATTTAATAAATGGCCATAAAAACCTGACTGGATTGGAGAAATATTGGCAAATATAATAAACAAAAAATATATTAACTCTAATTCTGCAAAGCCTTTGGCTATATTAATCTCTCTTTAATGTAATCATCTATAAATAAGTGATGACCCCACGATTTAATATGACATCTGTCATCCCCATTTCCATACAAGACATGAAGTAATTATGCTCTCCAATGTGTAATAAAAACCATGGCCTTCATTGTTTCTCATGACTGCCCAGTTTAATCATGAGGTGGTCTCTTTCCACTCAACAACCCTTATGGGCCACCCCAGGAGGTTCAGTTCTGGCTCTCCGTTTCCAGAGGGACAGAAGGACGCTTGGACCAAGCTTCAAGGTGCCCCAGACCCTCTGCATCTGTGATTATACTTGCATAAGGTGATGGTGCCCAGGTATCCTCGCTCAGGCCCCAAGGAACACTCCTAGGCAAGCAGTAATGCAGCATGATTTTCGGTAAACAAGCTAACCTCAGTACTCCCACAAGTTACAGCAGAGTCATGGGTAGATTAGCAAGAGCTGATAACGTGATCTGTGATTTGGGGACCAAGGAGAGATTTATGGGTGACCTCAGTCTTCAAGGCTGTAAACACAGCTTCCTTTGCATTGGGGCACAGTTCATTCATTTCTAACCAGCACTTCATTTAGTAACTTATCGCTGCCTTATCAAGTGTCCCTAACGCTGCAGGACTCTGCTCATTTCATTCCTGGGTTCAGCCATGCTGCTGCAGGACTGGCAAAACGAAGCCAGAGCTCCCCAGCTGTATCCACCATGCCCCGCAGCTCTGGGGACTCAGCAAACCAGCTACTCAAGGCAAAAACTGGTCCTGCCCTAGGAGCAGCCAGGAGCTGATATGCTCTCTATTGGAGGCCACAGGTAGCTGCTGCTCTGAAAACAGGCTCAGGCTTGGCAATAATACTTGCAGTGGACAGCAGACAGGCAGCAAGCATCATATGCAGCAACTCACTTGCTTAGAAGCCCACCAACCAGGGAGAAAAGGCATGCACGAGGCCAGGCTGCGGTAGAGAGCAGAGACATTTGTAATAAGATCCCATATAGGAAGAATCAGTGCCCGCAGACTCAGATGGGAACAGTGGCCACCAAACACCCTCCCCTGCAGGCACAGCTCCCTGTACTGGGAGTTCTGGCACAGACCCTGCGCACCCCCTTTGGAAGTGGTCCGTGGTGCCCTGACATCCCAGCTCCTCGGCTGCAGCCCTGCGGGGCAGCAGCGCTGTCACCAGCGGGGACGCCAGCCAGCTGGGGAACTTCAGCAACTGAGCCTCAGTTCTAGCACTGGCTGCTGGAAGACCACAGTGATCACAAGGGCCAGCTTTGTGACTTAAGAGACAGTCTCTTACAAGCATATTTTTCACTTTAACTGGAACTCCGATACCACAGGTGATGCTGGGCTCTCTGCCAGACTCTTGCCAGCTTTCCTAGGCAGGGACGAGCCACATGGATCAATTCTGCAGACTGCACCTGCAAGGACTTGCCTGGCTCTGAGCACAGCACCTCCAGCCAGCACTCTCGATCAAAGCTGCCCTTCCCCAGTTCTGGCCAGAGAGATGAAGGTTATCAATACAGCCACGCAACTTGATGTTTTAATGCTGTCCCCAGGGCTAGAGAAATGACAACAGTCTACAGCCCTGAGACAGGAAGGCAACAAGATTTATAGGAAAAAGAAGCTTTTGCAGGTATAAGGGGGCTGGGCTGAGGCTCTTCTTCAAATACAGTATATTGCAAAACTGCTTCACCCCAGAACTGGCCAAAATAAAGCAAAGAGACATTCCATCTTATCCCCTCACCCCAATTCTGACTCCTTGAGTAGATCAACCCCACACGCAGCAGCTTGTAAACAAATCTGCTGAAGAGGAAGTGCCTGACCGTCCTGCCCCACTCCCTGCAGAGTGAAACATTTGCTGTAGTGGTGCAACAAAAATGAACAGCAGCAGTCAGCCATGACTCCAAAATTAGCCCACAATAAGAGTCATCTCTCTGCAACATTCAGTGGCTGCCCTTAAAATAACTTTGTGCAAGTCTTTCCACTAACTACACCCCACGGGGTAGCGCCACAGCTCACGATGGAAACCCAGATAGTGCTGCGTGTGCAAAAGTCCTTGCCCTAGCCACACTCTCAATCATCCTGAGCAGCCAATTGACAGTACCTGCCCAGCCAGAACAAAGCAATTCAAACAGCAACGCCTAACCTCCACGCTTGTTCCTCAAGCTGAAGTGCTGGGTTTAGGTACTTGGGCGCATGCGTGAATTTGCATCTTTAAGAAGTGTGGGAAGACAAAAATATGCACAGAGGGTGAGGGGGGAACATCAAAGATTCCATTTAAATACAGCTTTGTGGAACCATGAGCACCAGCCACTGCTGAATATTGAATCTTGGCCTGGGCTCTGGTCTGTCCTAAACCGATGCAGGGGAATGAGCCCAAAGCTGTAGGGGCCATGGCTGAACCAGGACAGATGGCGAGTTTGAGGGATTTCCAGCAGCTTATGGGGAAAGAGAAGAAGAAAGGCAGGTGTATCTGGGCGTGCCAATTGTGGCCCCTCAAGCCCAGGCTGTGCTGCACAGAGTAGCCAACGCAAACACAGCAGACAAGGCAGTGTCTGCCCAGAGCATGTGAACTCCAGCGCAGAGAGGCAGAAGACTCTTCACTAGGATTGTACCTGAGGTAGTACAGGGACTCTCCCCTGACCCCAGCAAGCTGGTGGCCAGACTAATACAAGCACCAGCCACCCTGACCCAGCTACAGCTTGCCCAAGGGACTTTGCCAATCTTCAACAGACACCAGAGCAGCACCTCAAAGCCCTTCAGGCACAGGCTCTGCTGCTGGCTCCCTCTTACCTGTCCCTAACGATGATCCCAGGCAACGTGGAGAAAATACTCCCTTCCCTCCAAGGTGACAGCTCTGCCAGCACAGCATTGCAGCAGCTCCAGCTTGCGCCAAGGGCCCTGGTTCTCAAAGAACCAGGTGGAACCCATGATCACGCCACTTCATAAGCTTCTTTCAGCCTTCTTCTAATAAACTAGTGATATCTGAGCACCCACCAAGGTCCTGCACATCGTATGTCAGCAGTAGCAGATTGGTAGGGGAAATCCCAGCCCTCTCCAGCAGGGGGACGGGGCCTACACTTCAATCTTACTGTACCAGGCCCAGGACAACACAAGACTCAACACACCAAGTAAGCCAAGACAGCTTCCAGCACATGTCAGCCCTGCAGAGCCCAGATGGAGGATTCATTGGCCCAGAACTCCTGCTCTGTGAGCGTGAAGGGACATACTGCCTCCTCCACAACAAGTGACATGTGTGCTTAGGGCCAGGATGTTATTTTGAGTGAGCAGTGAACTAAACTCTTGCCGTGGGCCCACTTCTCCCTCACTTCTCCCACAGGGCCCAGGATGGGAAGAGACTATTCTCCTCTGCAGTAGAAATGAGGTCCTGCATGCAGGGACCCGAAAGCTTTCCCCTCACCCAAGTGCACAGAGCAGGTCACGCGAATGCAGAGCCTACTGCAATAGCACTGTTGATGAGATTTAGCAGTGCTGTACTGAAAAGCCTTGAGAACCAAGCAGGGATTTGAAGATGGGCTTGGGGACATTTCAGGTCAGAGTAGCTGGGACAACACAGGCAACTGGAGAGAAAGGCAGCAAGATGCACGGAAGTACCCTGAGGGCTTTCTCTCCTTGCTGGAGAGTACTGCAGCCACTGTTCACCCTGCAGACCTGAGTCTAGGGACGCCAGCAACCACAGAAGGCCGATTTTACAACCTGGCCTACCTGCCACAGCTTGAGCAGCTTATGAAGCTGAGGGCGTCATCTGCAGAGGATCGCAGTCAGCCTCAAACAGAGGGACGTTCCCTTTGGCAGTCTCCAGCAGTGCCGCCTCTATCCTCCTGCCTCAGCCCAGTCCTCACTGTCCAGGCAAGGCAGAAAGGCTGCAAGAGGCAGCTCATCTACATTCCCACAGAGCGGCCCACGTTCTCCTCTACAACAGGAAAACCATCACTGCGTAACGTGCTAAATGAAAAACAATATTTAATTAGGACACAGAGTTAGACAAGCACACAATTAAACGTTCTATTATTATCAGTCTCACACAGTTTAAGTCTCAGTTCAATAAAGAACCATTAAAAAAGGCTAATAGATTATCGGAATGCAAATAGAGTTGTGCGTGGCATTCCAGCAGCAGCATGGGGACAGAGCTGGTCAAAGCGTGGATGATCCTGGCACTAAGCAGGCACGCAGACGCGCTGAGAGGGCAGGAACTCATGGGGCCCACACAAGAAGACATCAGCTTGCTCCAGCCAGAGTCCTGCTGCTATCTGCAAAGAGAGCAGAGCGCTGGCATCGCAGGTCTCTAACAGAGGCTGGAAAGTCACAGTCAAAGAACTGCCAACAGAAAGGAGTCAGGATGGCTGAGGCAGCTGCCTTCAAGCAAAGGCCTAAGCTTTCCAGACAGCTCTAACGAGCCCAGACACCATAGATGACACGCAGAGATCTGGCGACAACACTGAAAACAGAGCCCAGAAACTAGGCACGACAGGGCAGGTGGAGAAGATTCCGACCTTCTGCCCATCCAGCAATGAATCCCCCAAATCCCTAAGAGCTAGATTGCATCCTCCTGCACCTGGGGGCAAAACTCACCAGCATAAGCAAGGGTCCATCCAGGTACTGCATCCCATTCTCCAGATGCGCCACAAGGAGAGCTTCCCAGCTGGATACTAGCAGGACACCTTGGTCTGCAGAGAGAAACAAGTCGGGGAAAATGATGGGAAGGATGGTAGGAGACTGTTTCTTCTCTTCCCCAGCACTCAGGGACTAGGCCTAATCCTCCTGTGTTTTTCTTTTCCTACAGAAGTGGAGAAGAACCCTTTTTGTTATGCACAAGGAAGTTCACTAATACACTTAAACACCCCTCCCAGGCCTGCATGGAGTTGGGATTAAGTAGAGGAAGAGCTATCATGGTTGAGTGGTTAAAACAGACTAAAAGCCCACAGGGATTACCATACTCACATACAAGACCCTGCCAATTCCAGCCCTCCTTACTGGCAAGCATCAGCCAGAACCATATGTAAACACACATAGGTGAGAAATGAGTATGTTGCTAAACTTCAGAAGTTTTGGAACAGTTCCCTAAGAGCTAGAAAAACTACACAGGAAAATGAGAAAACCCTTTCTCTGATTATGGGCTGCAGCGCCCATCTGGCAGGGGACGGGACAACTCGGGCATTCGAGTCCTGTGTGGCTCTGAGCAGGGGACTGCTTGCAGCTCCTCGCTCAGCCACAGGGACTTTGCAAGGCCCTGTTGGGGTGGGGGAGAGGGCACAGGCAGAAGCCCCTGAGGATAAAGTATGATTGTCACAAGCACCACAAAGATTCAAGAACAGAGCTGCTAAGTTCCCTCCTTTGGTCTGCACTGCACGCCAGAGAACAAATTCCAGGGAAGTCCAGCCTAAATTGAACATAAATCCACTGAGCCCACAGCATCAAAATCCTTAAGTCTATTTGTCAGCAGTGCCGGAAGCCACTAGGCTGACATTTCTGCGGGAGAACAAACTGCTTGTGCCACGCTGTGGCTGCAGCAGGGATATTCCCCACCTCGGAGCAGGACGGCAGGCGGCTCGGAGGCCCCGGCAGTCCAGCCATGGGGCTCCTGGGCAGGGGCGCAGGCCCTCCAGGAAGCACCACTTCTGCCAGAGAAGATCAGCACCAGCCAAAAGCAGCTGCCCAACAACCAGAGCAGCAGGTGAGACTGCCGAGGACCAGCCAGAGGCTAGACCCACACTGCGGAAACGCTGCTCAACCAAGAGGCAGATCCAAAGCAAGAAAATACAGTGGTCCCAGACCAAGCTCAAAAGGGGTCCCAGGCACAGGGGAAACAACTAGATCCACAGGCAAACAGCAGGAAGAGCCACCACAATGGGAAGTACATCTTGTGAGCAAGAGGAGGGAACGGAGAAGAAGAGGAGAACAAGGGAGGATGTGAAGCAGTCATCGCTTTCTCATGGGAAGAGGACAATGATGTAGACCTGAAAAAAAAAAAGCTCACTCAGCCAGGATGCCTAGTAATAAATTTATTGTATTTTATTACATATTCCCTTTTCACTTAATTCCAATTCCTCATATTCAAACTCTTCTTTCTGAAAGAAAATGATTTTTAACATAAAAATATAAATTCTGCATATTAAAAGTGCATACACCTTGAATAATAAAACATACAAATAAATAATAAAAGGCATTGACACAGTCTCATGCACTTGTCCTCAAATAATTTAAAATTTATGGTACAATGTTCAATCCCAAGTAAAGACAGCCTGCTTTCCAGATTACTGTACAGTTCAAAAACATTAAAATACAGAAGAGAATATCAAAGGTGTGGGCAAGCCCCACGTCCCAGTATCAGTGTACAGTGATGTGACATGCAGTTTTTAGAACTGTAGATATTCCAGTGTAAAACCTGACATTGTGTCCAGAAGAGAAACTGCATTTGTAATAGGACTTAAAATTCAATTTTAACCAATGGTGAGGCACAGTTGGTGAGCAAATCTGTACAAATTAATACTTGGAAGGCCACAAGAAAATAATCTAGCCACTTGTAGCCTGTATTCCCTTGTGTCACCCTACCCAAGGCAATGTAGCACCTAAAAATGTTTTCTTATTGCACTGCACAAATGCCATACAATCCTAACACTAACTTTCTTGCAACGTTTGTGCTGCAGGGCCTAGAGTGAAATAGAATTTGTGTTTACACTTAGTTTTAATCTGTGTCTTTTAAAAAACACTATTCGCAGATAAATTGAGTGCTATCGCCTTTAAAAAAATAGAAGACTTCCTAAACCTTTAGACCTAGTATAGATATTGTACAAGTCTTCATGTACCTTTATTTTACAAAGTAAAGCTACTAATAGTAAATGCTTTATGGTGCTTTTATTAAGAAAACCACGTAGTACTTTCATCTCACCACAGATTAAAACTAAATTTCAGTTGCCTCCACAGATAACATTAGATACTGCCAAATTATTTCGGATTAGTAGGCAAAAGACAAAGATACAAAAAGGATTACAGTAAAATTATTTGGAATGTCATTTCAAAACGCTCTCCATGACCGCTGATCAACAGAGGAGGGGGACAGGGTTCTGGCACAGATGCCACAAAAGGAACAGGACCTAAGAAGTCTCCCCGACACAAGCAGCGATTGCTCAGTACTGGCTACTTTAACTGCTGCTATGAAAACAACGCCTACTAAGAGGCAATATCTCCTATGGGGTCACAGCCAGGCAGCCCAGGAAGAATCCCAGGCTTTTTAGTTTTTCTTAGCAAAATGCACTGCTCATTAAGAGAGCTTTCCATAAACCTCCCTCTCAAGTAAGAGACCCTGAACTGGCAGCTCTCCGTTCTTCCCAATCTATCCAGTAAAACTACGGCCCTGGCTGGCCCCACGTGGCCTCCAGCAATGCTGTGCATACAACAACCCAAGGTGGTATTTGCAGTCAGACAGGAGCACGGCTCAAAAGCAAACGCCACCATGGTTTTGGAGCATGAACAGGAAATAAAGCCACCAACATACGCAGCTGGGTCCTGGACAACAGCTCTTCACCCAGGAAGGCAGGCAGGAGCCTGCATTACCAGTACGGGCAATACGCCAACAACTGGGAACTGCTCCCTTAGCACTGAAATTCAACAGAAACTCTTTTATGAGTGTTCGTACTACTACAGATGACTGCCTCTTCTCACAACAGAGTGTGTCATTAAGTTACATAGAAAATGGCAGGTTACATACAAAACACTGACCAGGTTATCCCTAGTCAAAAAAACGAAAAAACAATACGATACAGAAAAACAGTTTGTTCTCATTTCAACATTTCAAATTCCTTTGACATTATGCTACACTCCAGTCTTGTCAGTAATCCAGAATTCTGCAAAGGAAAGAATCAAAGGTGTGCAAATAAAGCAGGAAACCAGGTACATGCTCCTATGTGCTGACACACAGCTGCATTGAGAAAGAACTACAGACTCAAAACAGCGCTCCAGAGTCTACCTAGTAGCTTTTGATACTGAAAGCACAGTCTATGGTTTTTATTAGATGCTTGCATAGTTAATAAGTGCATGCAATCGGGATACAGCAAGAGAATTGCCATGCAAAATTGCCTTAGCACTTAGAAAAAATGGTTGATCATGCTCAAGTTTCAGCTTTGGAAAGCAAACAACTCTGCATCTAAGGAAGATGAGGGCACTTACAGTGGCATAAGTGTACTGTAATTAAGCTAGTTTTCTACCTAAAGCATCTTTTATTTAGCCATATTTAGTAAGTTTGAAAGGGTTAACAGTTTGCACATCCGACATGAGACACAAGTTACCAAGAACTGTAGGCACCAATTTGCCTATCAAATGTGATTAATACAAATAAAAGGTGCCTCTTTAATATACGTCATTGAAAAATGTGCTTATAATTTGTATACTACGAAACACTATCCAAAAAACACAGCCCAAAAAGGGTAAAAATAATTGCTTTAGGTGACTCCAACAGTAATCTAGCTCTGGAATGAAGGTGCTGCTTTCCTGCACCAGGAAGGCTTATTCCAGGAAAAGGAGCAAGCGTCAAACTAGAGATGTGGTAATCTAGGAGTTAAGAACAGCCTGATGCACATGAATGTAATTGAAAGCCGATTAGAAACATATTCTAAAACCTTTCAGAAGGCTTGCTTCCCCTTGAAGCTTGCATGGTTATTTGAGAATAGGGTTAGCACTGAGCCTCCCCATTTAAAAACATTTCTCAATGTAAGACTGCACTGTAAAACTTTGGTTCCAGATTACCAGCCTTGGAGTCTCAGACTCCATTACTCCCAAACTAAGATAGCTTTCTCCAAAGGAAGCCACACCAAAGGCCATTCAGTACATGCCATAGCTGTACTTGACTAGTAAAGCAGACCCAGACTGCAGCCGTTCTTGCCTCATTCAAAAGTACAGCCACCAAGACTTACAGGCCCCACATACCACCACCCAGGGGTAGAGGGAGACTGCTGGCCAGTGACCTTCAGAGGTGACAGAACCCACCTCCTCCACAAATGTGGTGCTTCTGAAGCCAAACCTGAATTTTAAGAAAACACATGACCACTTACAAACAGCTACTTCAGAACAGTCACAGGCCTTCACAGTTTTAAGGATCAATACACAATGCCACGGTGGTGTTGGAATCTAGGACTTGCAAGATCTGACGTGAGCAAGATCTCCCTCAGGAGCATTCCCTACTATAACGTCACATCCTTATATTTAGGCAATGTAACACACAGACAGGAATTCCTATGCATGAAAGGGCTAAGAAATAAGACTGATGTAAAGGAAGGAGAAAAGACTGGATGTTGTTCTTCCCCAATGACTTTAAAGAGGGCCTGCAATAACCTACATTCTGTTTTAGAAAGATTTACCCCTCACCACTGAGGCAGCCTGATTGCTGTAAGGAACATCGTTATTTCCTGGACCCGCACCATTTAGCCCTCTCCTATGTCAGGAAGTTCATATACTACTGGAAACTTGTGATACTGAAAAGCAGAGGATACAGAGTGGCAGCAAACAGCTACTTTCCACACTGCTTTGTTATGGAATCGACACAGCCATGAGAATAGGGACCACGTTTTCCAGGTACTGTATAGTCATGCTTTGCTCATTTTGCCTGGTATGTGCCTTACATTCAAAAAGGACCATAACACACCCTTACTAGTAAACTGTGTTGATCTTCTATGACGCTCAGCCCTATTAGAACATTTTGCTTGAGGAGTCTGGCCTTAAATCTAGGCCTCCCCTGAGCCAGAAAGCATCCCACCTGCAAGCAGCCTACCACAGAAGAACAGCAGCTCATTCTTCTAAGAGAGACAAAGATCAATGGAAAGAAGAGGAGCCCTCTTCAGTCCATTCCATGCTTCTCTGTAAAGCAAGGAGCCTGTGCACCAGAGCTTCCATTTGCAAAGGGACAAGGTACCATATCCTAACTGGTAGAGGACACAGAGGAGAGGGTTCTGGAGCTGGTTTCCACAAGGAATTATGACCAACACACAGAAAAAGAGCTAAATTACATACCACAGGAATGCAGAGGTTTGACTGGCTTTTAACAGCAGCACTTGGCACCAAGACTTCTCATTCCCATTTTGTCTAGACATAAGGTCTATTGCCACTCTCATGCCCCAGACACAGAACTGGACTGGTGTTCAGCTAAAATGCAAACTCAGACATGGCTTCAAATTTCCTTCAGTAAAGGCATGCAATACAGGAACAATAACCACCTCAAAAACCATAAACCAGCTTCCAGTTTATACTATATAAGACTTCTTCGGTGAATGACAGCATGAGAGGGAAATGTCATTCCATAAAAGTAACCCTTCGCAAACATCCCACGGTAAAAAGCATAGAAAACTACATTCCGTCTATTAAAAGATACCAAATCAAGTTAGCGCTGGCTACCAGGATTACATTCTTTCTAGAAGAGCTGTTACAAGGGAAGAGCCAACACAGTGCAAGATCTCAATACAGATAAAACATTAAACAAATATTTTAATAGCAACATTTCAAGGAGTAATTTAAGTAGTACAATGTGAAGTAATTCCTATCTGCTCTGCTGAATATAACAAAAAATAATCCGAGTTATACATTTAGAAAGCCAGTTGCACAATCTTTGCTTCTTGTGGCTGCATTAAATGAGAAGGAAACAATATATGGGAGAATTGCACTGAAGAGATGGTCATGTTCAGGTTTTAAAATATAGTCCAGGGCAGAGTCCAGCATATTGTAAAAACATGCAAGCTACTGGCATTGCTCACGGGCTGCATGAAAGTAAGTACTGCAAAACACATAATCAGGACAGAACAGCAGTTATACTACACACGGGCTCATAGTCGCACATTAAATAGAGCTCTGTGGCACCAACAGTTCAGCTCAACATACACATGCCTTTTCACCAAGGTGACAGCTACACTCAAAATGCACTTCTCTTAAAAGCCTGTTGCAGATATGTGGTGAGCTGAGGATGATGTGATCAAGAAGCAGCAATGCGCCACAACAAAACCTCTGAGCAACATTTCCTGCAGGGTCCTCGACGCATCAGCTCAAGAGAGGAGATAGAACAGGCTACTGATAGCTACTTGTTTGAAGGCCATTTGTTACAGTGACAGAAAAGACTAAGAAACAGGTCTGTCCACAAGCTATGCCTTAAGAAGCTTAGCCAAATGAGGCTGTACAATAGGCAAAGATCTCACTCAAAGGGCAAGTGTGCACAGAGCACTGCCCAGTTGCTGTATGTTGTGAGCTACAAGATAGGTTGGTGCTATTCATAAAGGATATGGTTATTAATAATGCAGTGCATTAATTAAACCTCCAAAATTAGAAGAGGTTACACCTTTTAAATCTACCTTTTAGAAGAAGGCTATGTAAACAAAGATGTAACCAGATGTAGTGTTTTAACCCTGATAGAGACTGTCATTCAAACAAGAACCAAGATCAGTTTTGGTGAAACACCGGGGGAGCTAGACCTCTCAGAGAACATGAGAAATACATACCAAAGAAAAGAGCATAGCACTGCACTAGAGAATATGAAAAACTGTTCCACAGTATTTTGGCATAGCCCCACCAGCCTGCATGAAGAGGCTTGTTCAAAGCACGCTCAGAGAAGGCAGAGAAGACAAGACGACACTTGACTTATCTAAACATTACTCCTATAGATAATGGATGCTATATTCACACCACTACAAATTTGAGCATATTAGGAAATGCTTCTTCTCAGGAGTTTAACCACAGAGGTCCTAACAGCATCACCACCATTCTAGTGCATGAAGACAGCTGTCTCCTATGGTACTGTAACAATCTTCCACCTTGTACTTTCACAGATACTAGCTGCCAACCAGCTGTTGCTTAGTGATTTCTTCTGTTGCTTAGTGTAATAATACTTCAGAAAGGGAAAAACAACTAGAGAGGATGGGTAGAGGTCATCTTAGGTACGGATAGAGTAAAACTCTCCATAGACACCACCAAAAAAAAAAAGCTACTTACACTTTACAAATAAACTTTCTTCTGTTGGAATGAAGAAAATGAAATCGCTTACACACAGACACATGTACGCACGGACACACAGGTACTTTTCTGGATCTGTCCATCCACTAATGCTAGTCCCTCCTATACTGGCTGAGTATATACCTGAGAAACAACATTAGTGTTGAGATATTGCCCTTTAGAAAGCTTGAAAAAAATGGAGAGGAGCAGGGAAATAGGGTTGAGAGAGCGCATAAAGAAGCGGCAGTCTCTCCTTTTCAGTTTCCTTAGCATCCTTCACGGCTCAGGACAAGGCCATACATGAGCGTGGACACAGCCTGCTCAGAACAAGACCAAAGGAATATCAGTTCACAGCTCTACAAAGCACACTAGTGTCAGTGTAACTGGGTTTCAGATTTCAGACCTTGAATCTGAAGAAAGTTGTTGCATTTTCTATAAAGAGACTTCTGTACAAGTGCTATGGGACAGCTGCGTTCACGTTCAACGACTCCAACTAGACTACTTGCATCAGTGCTGGCTGCCTGTGGCTATTTGGTTTGATGGCAGAATCAAAAGGCGCTTTTAACAACTTGCAGTTAACTTCTCCTCAAAACATACATTAGGAAAAAACAAGAGCTCAGAATAAATTAACTTCTCAGCAGAAGAAAAGACACCTGGATTGCAGCATCTCACTGAGGTTCCAGAGAAGGCCGTACAGACACCTGCATGCTGGAAGGTAATTTTTTCAGCGACTTCTCAACAGACTGCTTGCCACTGGAAGGAGACTGGACTCCAGGATCTAGCTGGGAAGACTTGGACTTGCGACTAGATAGCAGAGAATGTTTGGTGGGTGTGGCATCTTTTGAGGCAAGCTTTTCTTTTGCACTAACATTGGCATTGGTTTGAGAGGCTGGTGGAATGACACCTTTCTCCAGTTTGTCCTCCAGCACATTTTTACTGGCTGACTTGGAAGAGCTACCTGCTGTCTTTTTTGGGAGCATTGTTGTCTTCCCCAAGTCTGCTGATCTCCGGGTCTCCTTCTGCCTTAAGGCTGATTTAAAGAAAGACAGTCCTTTCTCGTCCGACTTGCTGTCCCTCTTCAACCCAGAACGCACACCAACGTTTGGAGACCGCAGGTTGGCCATGGAGGAACTCCGCACATGCTTGCTGTCCACTGCCCTACTGTCACTCCTGGAGTGGCTTATCCGGGGGGAGCTCGTTCTTGAACTGCTGGTAACGCTCGTTTTATCTGACCCCAGACTTATCTTAGAGCCCTCTCTGCTGAGGCTTCGGTCTGAAGTCCGGCTCTTCACAGCAGAAGAGCTCTTAGTCACCGACCCTGATGGAGTTTTCTTGGTAGCTGTGGAGGATGGAGAAGAACCTGACTTTTGTTTCTGTTGAGCAGACGGGACAACCACCTCCTGGGGCTTGGTGCTATGCTCCTTCCTAACTTGACTTGGAGCAGGAGATCCGTGTCGCCCACTGGCCCTTGAAGAGTCCATCTTGCTTCTGGAACGGGAAGCCTTCTGGGAACTCTTTAACGGAGGAGAGGAGTGAGAGACTTTGGGCTCCTGGGTAGATAAGACTGTCCTTCCCTTCCCCAAACTCCTGTCTTGCTCAGAAACTCCCTTGGAGCTGTGAGCCTTCTTAGGGGTGCTATCTGCCTTTTCTGGAGTTAGCCCTGTCCCACTGGGGGCTTTCACCTCTTTGACTGGAGAGCTATCCACAGAATCAGTCTGATCTACAAAGGCAATTTGATTGTTGTTATCAAAGGGGTCCAAAGCAGGGCGATTCCTGTCTCCCTGCACAGAGCTTTTACTAAATCTATCTAAAAGATCTGAGCTGGATGTCCTTACAACAGATTCTTCCCTGAATGCCCCTTCCATGACAGCCAAGGGGGCTCTGCGAACTGTCCTGTGCTCTCGCCGACTGCCATCACAGGGTTCCAAGTAGCTGCTAGATAGATTCCTCAAGCTGCCAAAGCAAGAGGTGGAGACTTTATCATCAGCAGCCTCTCCAATCTTCTCCAGGGTGGAAGCAGAGGTATGTACAGGGGAATCTCCAGAGAAGCGTGAAGGAGAGTTGGAGCGCATCTGCAGTTTCGCAGAGAGTGACCATGAGGGCCTGACACCATTTTCACTCACTGCCAGTGGGCTGGTGACAGAGGATCTAGATGACAAGCTCTGACGCTGTACGCTTCTTACAAAGGGTCGAGTTGAAAATCCTCCTGCAGAGGAAGGAAGCAATATTCTTAATACAAAAGCCAAGCCCGCAGTCTATTTATCCTACCCATCCACAAACCCCATTTCCCTAAAAAGGAAAGACACAGTTCATCTATATCATACCGTATGCCCGATTTCTTCATGCCTGCTGCAGGCACAATTCTTGCCTAAGAGAGGCTGCACAAGGAATTCCAGCAAATTGTTCCTTGCACTGTGGTCACCCAAAAGTAATTCTGTCTGAAGGCTGTAACTGAAAATCCAGATTATCCTCTCATCCCTGAGCAGCAGGACATCAAACACTGCTTTTGCACTTCATAAGTCCTTAAAACTAGCAATGAGTTTATCAACTATGATTATGCTATTAGAAAGAAATTTATCTGTATGAAAGAATATTTACCCATATCTTCCTGTAAAAGGCAAACTAAGGTTTTTACTTCTTCAAATAAAGCAATATATTTGTATTCACAAAGAAGGAACAACGGTAAGCATTTTAGAAAACTGACTACAACGGTTGGATTTGACCGTTATCATAATACTACTGCAGGGCCAACTCTACATCCAATTCAAGAATCCCAGCCCATCCCTTGAAGCTCAAGATTTTCAAGAATTAGGACACTACATGGAGAAGCAGGTCAAAGCCTTCTGGCTTTGAAAATAACTGAATAGTTATTTTCACATGAGCGTATTAGCTATCTTCTCTCCTCCCTGGCAGCAATTGTCTACCGCATGACAACTCCATAGTAGGCAGCAACAATATGTCAGCCGCCCTGCAAAGGAGCTGCAGGGAAGTCAGGAAAACGCACTGCTAAGAAAACAAGCTCTTGATTGACAGGTTTCGTTGATGGTATTTTCTTCCTCTGAAAAGCTCCTTAATGTTTCTGTCCTGCTTTTCCCCACCCTTTCACACCAGAAAAGCCCACCAGTGCCACAGCCCATCTGCTCCTACTGACAGTGCCTGCTAGCCCCATTTGCTACAACTGTCCCATGCATGTATTATGCAGCTATCCTAGCTATCCTTTTATCTTGTAAATGGAAGAGATTACTGGCTTGAGAAATTAGTTTTTGACCCAACTCCCCTCATATCCTGCAGTGTTAATACACACCATCATCTTCACTCCTTTCACCAGCCAGCTCGACTGATTCTGAGAGTGAAGCCAGAGATGTGCGCCGTGATGAAGCCGCTGAAGCAATGCTGGGTTGCTTGCTGCCAGGAAGACGGCTGACCCAGTGTTCACACAGAGAAGAGCTTGTGGAGCCTGCAAGGAATCAGGCACAGAAATCAGGCCAGTAACGTGAAGCTGTAAAACACATGAATCCTTGTAAGGCTACTGAGAATAAGGTATGCACCACACTGCACAGGGTTCAACAGACACCTAGACTCTAGAGCTGCTCCACACAGCCACAGCATCCAGCTATTGAAGAGAGAATAAATCTTTACTCTTATGATACAGTTACGATCATAAACACAACATAGAATAGCACTCGTTCCAGTATGCTCTGCACGAAAAGAATCAGTAACAACACACAGGCAGATGACGGTATTTGAACTGCCACAAAAGACGCAGTACACATCCTTTCCAAACGGAAGTCACCAAACCTTATCTGTCTCCCAGCCTACCCCAGATTTACAACCAACACATTCAGCTGCTGGCTGCTTATCTGAAACCAATGACAATGCTACTGGGAATGGACTAGTCACGTCTTTCTGTCACTGGATTGACAGGGGTAGCTCTGAGCAGAATTACACATGGCGGCCTCCCCCAACTCCATAGCCTCTTTGCCACATCTGGCCTTCAGAAGGCAAGCACAGCCAGAATAGGTGGAAAGCCTCCCATGTCTCCAGTGTAGAGCAGATGACTCTCAGAGACAAACTGCTGGGACTGGGAGAGCAGGAGTACAAGCAGAGCCGGGCAGAAACTCTGCAGATCTATGAAGGAGAGACTACAAACACTCTTTGACAAAGCCAACAGGGCTTTACCTGCCACAGAGCTGTTAGCAGACCATGATGGGATTGCGGTGCGTCTCTGGTAGAAAAGAATATATGCCGTCTGCTTGCAGACTTCATTTTCAGAAAGTTGCTGAACATCACTGTCATCAAAGCAGTACCACTGGCCATCAACTGAG